GTATTACCGTTTCCACTTTTTCGTTTGTGTAGGCAAAATATTGAGAGTTTTGAGGCTTGCAGTTGGCAAACAGACACTACCAGCCAGTGGAAGAATACAGAACCAACTAACCAAGAATAATCTCTTGTAAAAGGATGATAGTCCCTCCGTCCCTTAAAACTTTGTCAACTTTCCTTTTTTGGATGTCCCACTAACTTTGCCGCTCTCCCTTGTAAGTAAAGAATTTGTGGTTCCAGTTAATTCTCTCTCCTGTGCACAAACTTCAACCACACAGTTTTTACTTTATTAATCCCCGTGCCGGTCAAACTTGGCAAAGTTTTAAGGGACAAAGGTAGTACATTTGAAGAACAAATCCGTATGTCAGGAAATTTTTGTAACGTACCTTGAAAGCACCACACTAAAAGTTTAAAAATTTCCTGAACAGATCTTCTGACTATGACAAAATAATGATTAATACATGATAATATAAGAACTAGACGGATACTTACTTGTTAGGGCGTTTAATCCTTAATATTTGATATCCACGCGATTTCTCCTTTTCGAAAGAAAGATTAGATTTCCGTTAAATAGAAAGCTAGAAAATCTATTTTCTCGGGAAAATAGATCTAATACTGAGTATCTAAAGATGTGTTTAAACTAGTATCCCAATCACAATGAAAGTTTTTCTCATTAATGAGTTCTAATCCTAACGTGACCAATACTCATTAGTGAGTTCTAATCCTAATAGGACCAATAATATTTGTTATTTTATGAAATAAATAAAAGAAAACAAAACAATAATAATAGAGAAGTTGCTGCACGCAACTCTCTAGTTATTATTATTATAATAATTATAATAATAATAATTATTAATAATATTATTATTATTACTATTATTATTATTATTATTTATTTCATTTGATTTATTTTTCTAATTCAAAATTATAAAAAGAAGTTCCAACTTTTTTAATAATAAATACATCTTAATTAAGTATAACAAATAAATCTAATTATCTTACTTAATTGATTCTATCAAATAGAATCCTCTTTCAGCATCATGAATTAAATATAGTTTAATCTAATTAATATTTAATCCATTTTCAATATTATGAATTAAACATTACTTAATCCATTTAATATTTAATGCATTCTAACAATTCAATCATAAGGTATATTCACTTGTTGTGCAGCCCGTATGACCTTATATATTAAGCACTAATCAAATTAAGGTCTTAGTAGAATCCCTAGACGAAGGACGTTTGTGAAGGCTAAACGATTGTCTTTAATATATACTACCTCCGCCCCCTAATATTGAGACGAAAGGAAGTGGTGTGGTTTTTAAGAAAAACAGAATTATGTGGTTCATAATGATTTGATAAAGTGGGAATACACTAAGAATGAATTAGAGTCACACAAATGTTACCAAATATGGTCATTATCATTATCATTACCCCAATGCCGCAAAGTGTTACCAAATATGGTATGAGACAAAGGGAGTAGCTTATAATGACACAGTCCTTTCGTTCATGAAAATCCGACTAAGTTTAGAATCTAATATAGTGTTTATTATAATAATTTAGTCTATGTTTCTCATTCTTTCAAATGGTTTCTAGCTAGGATGTACCAATTATCTCCAAAATCTCCAAAATATGGTGTCTATTATAATAATTTACACATGAATAGAACATATCAAATGGTTTCTAGCTTGGATCTAGGTAGTTAACTCGCTACTCGGTAGTAACTCGGTCAAGGACCGAGTAGCGAGTAGGACCGATTACTCGGGATTACTCGTTGATTACTCAGCCTTGTATTTATTAAATTTAATAACATAAGTGCCAGAGAGTATAGAAATATAATAGTCTTACAATTATCTAAAAATGCATAGAAATGAATAAAATGATAGAAAACGATGGAGTAGCAAAAGTCATAAGCATTCTAAGTTTTCACGAAAATCAATCATCTAATAGTTTCGTAAGATCTATGTTCTCTAAATCACTGTATTTACTAGAATACACTGTATTTACGCTAAATCATAGAGATAAGGCTAAGTATTTGTTACACTCATATCTTGCTGTGTGTTTATCCGTTTGGAGCGTATTATATCTCGTTGGAAATATAGATCGGAGCTCTAAAGCTATTGTTCCAACTTCATTTACGATGCATTATATAAAAGTTACAGATTAACGATATATTCACAAATGTTTCTGATTTCACTCCGAACTCGTGTATGTATTAGCATATTCAGTCCCATTATAAGCCTCAGCAGACTGGGTAGAGTTCATGATTGTCAATCAATGATGTGTGATAGTGTGTATCAATCAATATAGTGATATTAATTAAAAGTTACGTAATATAATATATATAGCCATACTAGTGAAAAGAATTTATTTATATCAAAATATATGTGTGTTGATACTTTAAAATACAAATCAACTGAAAGATGGGAGGGTGAAAGAAGAAGAAACGAGAGAGGGAAGAGGGGAAGATAAGAGAAAAAAGATGACAACTTATTGAGAAATTGTAGTCACAGATCTGGGGGATAGTAGATGTCAGAAATTCCGTTCAGTCTAGGTTTTGTAACTTAATTTTTCAATTTTTTAAGAGGGAACGAGTTAGACCGAGTAACTCGCCGAGTTGAAAACTTCACCGAGTTGAGAAACTCGACGAGTACTCGGCGAGTAACTCAAAAATAAAACACGGACCGAGTTAGGTAGCTACTCAACAAGGTCAGTACCCGAGTTGCGAGGACTCGCCGAGTACTCGCCGAGTACTCACTGAGTAGATAACCTAGGCTTGGATATAACAATATCTCCAAAATATATGTGACCGTCATGAATGGCTACAATACATAGTTGTGAGATCAACTGCACTTTCTAAAAGTATGATGTATTCCACATACTAATCTTATCGCATATTATTGATATTTCATTTTCGATGATCATTGATTGGGGTTATTATAGGACATCATGTTATGTCAAACAAGTATTCATTTACTTAGGATGTTTTTACTTAGACTGTTTTTAGTCCCAGAACAGACTAGACCAGACTTAAATAGATCAGACCAAACCGGATTTTAATAGACGAGACCAGAACAAACCAGACTTCCATAGTTATAAAATACACATAGACCAAACATTTACCATACTTGTTCAGACCAGGCTAGAATTAAACATATCAGATCAGACCAGTAAATTTCAGTCCAATTAAAAACATCCTTAGTGATAACATAAGTCCAAGAGAACACACGTATGAATAATATATAGACAATAAAAAACAATTAATCATAAATTTGTAACACCTCAAATATCAAATATCATAAACCTAAATATGATATTATGATGGAGCACATATATCTCTAAATAGTGATTTTTGTGGGCCTTACAATAGGCTAGGGCTAAAGTACTTTAGACCTGCACAAAAACAGGCTCAGGTCGGTCTTTTTTCTAAATTTTCTGCCCATTCATGTTGGCAAGCCCGACCTGGTCTGCAAGAACCAAGCCTAACCACATGCCCATACCCGCCCATAAGAGCGAGGCGGGTAGTCCACCGCGCCGCCCAGTCCGGGAAAACTTTAATTTTTTCAAAAATATCAAAACAATTTTTAACACCTTTGAAATAATATTACAACATTTTAAAAATTGTTTATAATGTTTATATGCCTCTCACCGCATACACAAAAAATATTTACACAAAAATAATCATGAAAACTATAACAAAAACTTAAAATTCAAGCACAAAGTATTATCTTTAATTATAATAATAGATATTGTCTGAACTTGAATCCCTCCTGCTGGCTAAAGAGTTGCGAATAAGAAAACTTCGTGACTCTTCGTAGCAGACATTATTCTCTGCTAATGTTGCTCAACTTGAAGAAGCTCCATCTGCACAAAATACTGATACCGGTTCTCAAAACTCTATTGAAAGTCCATCTGCACAACTTGCTGAGTATGATAATTCTGGTACAAATTCTACCTATAGAGGTAGAGGTCGTGGCGGTTTTAACAGAGGTAGAGGTGGTAGATCTGGAGGTCGCAGTTCTGTTATCTGTCAAGTTTGCAGTAAAGTTGGTCATAGACTCATAGTGCTCTTGTTTGTTATCACAGGTATAATCCTGCCTATACAGTTTCCAATTCTACCTTATCAAATCAATCTATGAATCCTTATCACTCCTATCCACAACAACCTATCCCATATCCAAATCAATCTCAATCCCAATCACCTCAACATAACTACTATCCTATGTCTAATCCTTATCCACACTCACAATCAACTCCATCAATACCAAGCTACTCTCCTATGCCTAATCCCATTCAACCTCCTCAACATACCAACTGGGGATTTATCAACCATCCTGTTATACATCCACCTCAAAATCAGACTGTACCAACTGTACCAACTGCAGCCTGGGCTTCTGCAAATTCTTCTTTGCTAGGACCAGCTCCTAATGCTCAGAATTGGTTTCCAGATTCTGGAGCTTCACACCATGTCACACCTGATCCCCTCAACATTCAACATAGTGAGCCACTTGCTACAACTGACAAGCTATTCATGGGTAATGGTCAAGGTTTGGACATTAAGTCGATTGGTTACTCTTCCTTTTCCTCTCCTTATCATCCTTCATATACTCTTTTACTTAACAATATTCTCCATGTCCCTTCCATAACCAAAAATTTGCTTTAGTGTTAGTCAGTTTGCAAGAGATAACAATGTTTTCTTTGAATTTCATGCTCATGAATGCTTTGTTAAATCACAGGCTTCTAAAAAGGTTCTATTACATGGCATTCTGGGTGCTGATGGTCTCTACAAGTTCCAGTCTCTTCCAGCTCTTGTTTCCAGTCCATCCTTGTCACAAAATAAATTCTATAATAACATTCAGACCTGTAACAGTTCTATTTCTTGTAATCTGTGGCATTTGAGGCTAGGTCATCCTCATTTTGAGGCTCTCAAATCTGTAATGCAACAATGTAATGTTTCTACTTCCAATAAAAGTGCTATTGATTTCTGTTCTTCATGCTGACTTG